ATGTCATTTTTATAGTTCATTGGAAAGTACACGAGATCGTCTTGGAATTCCGGAATGTGCAACACATGGTCTGTTAAGGCCGTATTATGTCCTACTAGAACACACTGGCCAAGCGGTCGTTGCGCAATTTAAATTCACAGCTCTTGTTACGTCAAGCGGAAATGCTACGCGTATTACATCATCACCTCAATTACCATACGTTTCTTCTGAGTTGTCTATACCACCAGAATCGGACATTGCAAAGTTGTTAGCTTGTGAAGTTAAATCAGTGAAGGCAAAAAATATATAAAAATAACATAGGTAATAACATAAGCGTAACGATAATTTATTATATCGTATATATCGATTTTAACCAGACATGTGGGATTTTTTGATCTGCTGAAATTAAGCAAATCATGCATTATGTTCTTTACAGTGGTTTATTTACTATGATCAAATCAAACCGCAGTATAGTGAATATATATATATATATATATTAAATTGATCAAATAAATTAAATTGTAAAATGCAAATATTTACATTCCAAATATGCTATTATGGTTCAAAGTGAATTTCGCTAAACAGTCAGGCATTTGAATCAAATACGGTTTTATAAATGATAACAAATCAATACTGACTTTTAGTCAGTCTCTCATCTTTGCTATCAATGTTTTCCGAATTACGACGAAACTTAAGCAAAATCTAAATAATCATTACGCGAATGTTGAATATCTTGAAAGTTCTTTAGAAAAATAGTATTATGGTGAAATCATAATAAACCTTTTATTCTTTATTTGACCATAACAGAGTAATAAAGCCATAGCCAAGAACCCTCACGTCCCTAGCTCTTACAAATGTAATAACATGTGACGACAGATGCAACCCACCATCTAAAGCATAACATCATTTACGTACTACATTGTACGAGTCGTAAAACTATTGATTACAATTGAATAATAAACAATATTTATGGAGACTAACAATTAAATTACTATTTTATCTCAACAAATTCAAAACACCTCAACAATACAAATAAACAATCTCAAAAATTATAACTAGATCTAAATAAGACAAATCATTGTTTCTTTCATTTTCACATAATAATTCAACATTT